TTTTGAACCGTGCGCTTCACAGACTGCCATTCAAGATGTTGACGCAGAAACGCATTTTCGAATGCATCCGTCCCCAAAACTGGTTTGCAGCGATCGACCTGAAGGACGCGTACTTTCATGTCTCGATCCTCCCGCGGCACAGGCCATTCCTGTGATTCGCGTTTGAGGGGCAGGCATATCAGTACAAGGTCCTGCCCTTTGGGCTCTCCCTGTCGCCTGGAGGTGGCCCTTGTTCCCTTGAGAGAACGGGGTGTGTGCATCCTCAACTATCCTGACGACTGGCTCATACTTGCACAGTCTCGCGATCAGTTGTGTGCACACAGGGACCTGATGCTCAGACACCTCAGCCAGTTGGATCTTCGGGTCAATTGGGAAAAAAGCAAACTTGTGCCAACGCAGAGGATCTCTTTTCTCAGCATGGAGTTGAATTTGGTCAATCAGATGGCATGCCTCACCCAGGAGCGTGCTCTGTCGGTGCTGAACTGCCTCAAGACTTTATCAGGCAGGATGGCGGTCCCACTGAAATTCTTTCAGAGGCTCCTGGGGCATATGGCTGCAGCTGCGGCGATAGTTCCGATTGGTCTGCTCCATATGAGACCGCTTCAGCACTGGCTCCATGGCCGAGTCCCGAGGTGGGCGTGGTGATGCAGTACTCACCGGGTTCAGATTACACCGGCCTGCCGCAGAACCTTCAGCCCAGGCATGCTGTGGTATTCACAGATGCCTCAGCCACCGGCTGGGGGGCCACGTACAACAGGCACGCAGTGTCAGGGGTTTGGACAGGTCCCCAACTGTGTTGGCATGTCAATTGCCTCGACTTGCTGGCAGTACGCCTTGCCCTGAGCCGCCTCAGAGGGAGCCTTCAAGGCAGGGATGTTCTGGTCTGCACGGACAACACTGCGACTGTTGCGTATATCAACCGGCAAGTCAGTTTACGCTCCCGTCTCATGTTGCAACTTCCCCACCACCTCCTCCTTTGGAGTCAGAAGCATCTGAAGTCCCTTTATGCCATCCACATCCCAGGAGTGTCCCAATTGGGCAGCCGACGAGCTGTCTCGAGCAGCACCTCTAGGGTAGAGGAGACTCCACCCCCAGGCAGTTCAGCTGATCTGGAGTCGGTTCGGAGTTGCTCAGGTAGACCTGTTTGCATCTCCAGAAACCACCCACTGCCAATGGTTCTACTCCCTAACTGAGGCAACGCTCGGCACGGACGCACTGGCACACAGCTGGCCCCGGGGCCTGCGCAAATATGCGTTCCCCCCAGTGAGCCTGCTCGCACAGACACTGTGCAAGATCAGGGAGGACGAGGAGCAGGTCTTTATGGTGGCTCCATATTGGCCCAACAGGACCTGGTTCCCGGAACTCATGCTCCTCGCGACAGCCCCTCCCTGGCTGATTCCTCTGAGGAAGGATCTACTTTCTCAGAGACGGGGCACCCTCTGGCACCCGCGTCCAGACCTGTGGACACGCCATGTGTGGTCCCTGGATGGGACGCGGAGGTTCTAGGTGACCTACCCCAGGAGGTAGCACTCACTATTGCTTCAGCACGTGCTCCGTCCACGAGATGGTCCTATGCACTGAAGTGGAACCTGTTCGTCGAATGGTGTTCCTCCCAATTCGTCGGTCATCACCGACGTGACGTCTCCGAACAGGGAGGGTGGGTGAGGGGGTTGCCCCATCAGAGATTTCACCTTGCATATCATTGCTCTCTTGTTGATTTTGATTGCTTCCATTGTCCTCATTTGTAAGTCGCTTTGGATAAAAGTGTCTGCTAAATCCCGTAGCATCATACATGTCTTGGAGGGGTACCCCCAACAGTAAAGCTCTTGAGGTTGCCACATTTCTTGTGGAGTGAGCCCTTACCAGTAGAGGCAAGAGCATGTTGCTTGCTTCGTAGGCATTTGATTTCGCTTCTACAATCCATTTACTAATGGTTTGTTTAGATGCTGGGGTCCAGGGCCGTTTCGAGCTATTTTGGTGAGGTGAAATCTCTGATGGGGCAACCCCCTCACCCACCCTCCCTACTGAACGCATTCTAATATAGTATAAAATATAAACGTATTATTTGTAAATTAACTGTTAAGATATACATTTTGCTTCATTTATTGTCTGTAATACCATTATGTAGGCACTAGATGCCTGTATAGGCCTATATAAACAGGTTTGTGCAATCCCTAGTTGCTAAGAAATTGTCATCACACATAAATTAATTTCATTGCATTTGGATTTGGATACATGTTTAGATATTATGAAGGACTACTTTTTGTCTTTATCTGTGATTGTTTTGTTGTTGTTTGAAACAATTATTTAAAGTGTCAGTTTTTGCATTATTATTTCAGTCAAACCTATAAAACCCTTTATTACCCCAAACTATATATAAAAGCTTGATCAGTCACAACAAAGTAATCCGAATGCAGCTACTTATTCCTTTGTTACTCATTGACACGTGAACTTCCCCTTTAAATGATGTTCTGCCCTCTATGTGTCTCTATCTGCCCTCTTAATGACTCCCATTAAGCACTGTTAGAAGTGAATGAATTGATTCAGCATTTTGACACTTCCGTAAGGAAGCGTTAAATTCGACAAAGTGGTTTAATAAAGGATGTGGATATTGTGAATTAGCTAATTTTACTGTACTAATATGTTTTAGTTGGCCATTAAAGTTTTATATGAGAATATTACACAACACACTGATCCTTTAACAATGCATTGGTGCAAAAACGCACACCTTTTGGACCAATTTTGCAGCATGATTTCTCGACTGCCACAAATACTGCCCTAACAAAATACTGATTTTGTGCACTTTTTACTTGTTTGTATTTTAAACTGGCCTGTGAAATTAGCTTTATTGCATGGCAAAAAAAAATTGTTACCTTGCCAAAGCACTGACAGAACCCATAGATCTAATCGTGTTGTTAAGCGCTCCAATTGCAACTTTTGCATGCAACAATCTGGCAACAATTGACAGCGCTCTGATCCAAAGGCATACAGGCATCGTCAGTGTAGATAACTTGACTACTTAAATTTGTAAGAGAATTTTATTAATTCATTCAGGTTTTGATAGGACTCGGGTCTGAATCCCGCTACATCAGATTGACAGTACACTAGTCCAAGGATGTTGGGGAATCCAGTGGGGGTGGCAATCATATTTCAGGGTGGCCGTGCCACTCTTTATCACAACCCTGTTAAAATGTAGTGCAAGTACTTGCGCTCATTGGTGCCCCTCCTGCTGGTTGCACCCTAGGCGACCGCCTAGTTTGCCTATGCCTAGAAACTGGTCAGCTGGGGACCCTTTCTTGGAGGGCCCAAAACATACCAATAATTGGTAAATTCTTCTGAACTGAGACTTTCTTTGAACATAGTCTCAATGACCCTAAAAGGGCACAGTAAATTCAATGGAACAGGGATCAATGGAACTTGTGCCCTTACACTGGGGGGAGCGAACTATCTGAGGTTGCAATGATACTGGGCAGACACTGGGATTTGATTAGCTGGAAATTGATGTGCCCCAAAGCTCCTGAGGCAGCTGTACATCCACTCCTCCCTGGGAAGGTTTGCCCTCAGAGACCTGACCATGACATCAGGACCTCTTTCCCGAAGCCTTCTTCAGATCTGTCTTCTCCTGAGGCTTCAAACACATTGAGGCAACACTCTCCTTTTGTTGTTGGCAATATGAGGAGCTGGTTGATGGCTGGGGCTACTCACATGTTTATATTGCAATAGCAGGGGCCAAATTTTTTTGGCTACGCAATATGGGTAATCAGTATGAATCTTACTTTCTCTTAATGTGGATGTTACATGTTCAACATTTTGTGTTCCTTGTAGTTTTGTTATATGGACTTTTAGTTTGCATTTGCCATTTTTCTGATCCTGTTTCTTGTGCCATGTTTGTAGTCCCTTTGTAGTTTTCTTGTTGATTACTCCCTGATTGTTCCCAGGTGTTTCATGTTTGCCTATTAGCCCTTGTTTATTTATATCCAATCCTATTTTTTTTTTTTCTGTTCTTAGTAGGGATGCCACAATTCTCGGTATAATATTGAACTGTTCAGTACGGCATCCACGGTTCAGTTTGTGCTTGTGAATAGTGTTTTTTTTTCTTTTCGGTTTTGCATTTAAATCATTTCTGTGAGTTTTATTTCTCTCCAAATTGGCTCTGTTTGTGTGTGTCCATGAGTCTACGCGCTGAGATGAGGAAAAACCTCCCCGCTTATAATGTCAATTTGAAAAAGCAACTCATACCAAACATCTTCCCTTGTAATGACTTGTAATGAGAAGCATTTCTAAACCTGTTGTCCATCAAAAAAGAACATTGTAAGATGTTTTTTTTTTTGTTTGTTTTTGTTACAGTCCTTTCTGGTTTTCCCCCATCTTTTAATGACTCTTAAAATGTTTCTGTTTCCATTGTTTCTATGTTGGTTTCCTGTGTTTAGTTCCTGTTTTCCCCGTTCCCTGTGCTGTCTGGTTTTGCTCCCTCATTTGTTTCTATAGCAATTAATTAGCTCCACCCCCCTAGTTAGTCTGTTACCCTGTGCATTTATACTCTTGTGTTTCAGTCTTTTGTTTGTTGGTCATTGTTTTACTTTATGTAAACTGTTGCATGTTTTTTACTCTGTCTGAATTTATCTACCTTGTTTTTACCTTGTTTGGATTTTTTTATTAATTTTGTTAATAAATTGTGCTGCATTTAGATCCTCACCACTTCCTTGCCTTTTACTCCACAACATCAGTCAAATGTTTGATAGAACTTCCTTTGTGATCTGATGTGGCTTCTTATCACCGAATGAGGCAGAAAATATATTCTATACTGTAATAAAGGCTATGTCGATTGGCAATGGATTATACCAGGCATGTGGACTCGAGTCACATGACTCGAGACTTGACTGGACTCGAGTCCCAAATTTGATGACTTGCGACTCGACTCGACATCCATTTGGAGATCTCCAGGCTGCAGTTATACCCTTCTCCGTTTGATCGCCGCCCAGCAGACACACGGAGTGGGCATGAGAAACAAGAGGCACGGCCGCAATCACTTCACTGGTGCTTGCCTCATCATCACCGTGACCGCTGCTGTTAAACGCTAAACATATTCCTCACTTCTTCTGTTTGTCCAACACCGAGGTCCAACATGAGTGATGGATCCGCATCCCGTCACGACCCTCGCACTCTGCCAACTCGATGTGCTTTTTCATTTTTATTTGTAATAAACACCTCTCTGAGACCTTTTTTTTTTTTTGTCAGATCTCCACTGTTTTTGTTCAATCAGTTACATATTTTAATTTCATGTGCATTTTGTTTTATTTAAACCTCCATTAAGTTTAAAGTTAATCCATAATCGAGATTTAAATCTGAGTTTACATTTATGGTGCAACTGGATTAAAGTTAATCCTAAATAGGCTATAGCCTAACTTTAAATCCAGGATCAAAATGATGGGTTCAAATGTAAGCCTGCTTATTTTTAAAGGTTTAAAGTTTGGTGCAACAGAATTATTAGATAAACCTTGATTTAATCTAGATTTAAAATTAAACGCACATAGCCCCTCAATTTAGCAATCAACTATGCATATTATAAACTTAACATTTAATGTACAACATTTTTTTTCTATAAAATAATTTTGTCTTTGTTACTCTTAGTTATAAAGAATGATAGTACAGTCTTCATGAGTTTGTCTGCATCCATATTGCATGTTTCCTCTCACTTGTAAAGTATGGTAGCAGTTATTCCTTCTAGTTCTTTCAAAGCAGTTCTTTCTGCATTTCCGCTCACATATTTTTAAATCTGTTTCATTGAGGTTCCAAATAATGGCTCATTGGCTTTGATATAACCACGTTTTTAAATCTATTTCATTGAGGTTCCAAATAATGGCTCATTGGCTTAGATATAACACCTAGAAGCATATATACTTAAGCACACATGCAAAGTATGTTGCAGCTGTATTTCTATGAAATTCTGTTGTTTTCGCTATTCTGTTACTAATAAAATCTTTTTTTTTTTTTTTTCACTGCTTGTCCTATTTTGGCACAATCCCTAAACTGAACTTGAGTAGTTTTACTAAGGGCTCAGATCTCACATGAAATACTCGAGACTTACTTGTGACTTGCAAAACAATGACTTGGTCACACCTCTGGATTATACATATACTTAATTATTCTGAAAATACCCAAGATGTCTTGAAGAACACAGATAAACCATATATTATTAAATTCCAGTGTTTATTGTCTTCATGTTTCATAATTCAAAGTGTTTCTGTCTTATTTTTATTCAGCTACAGCAATAGTTGGATGCTTTTGTCCATATTAGAGATTTCCTGGAGCATCATGACTTCTATTACTTATGTGATGCATATGTGGATTTTCTGCACTGTAAAAAAAATCCTAATTTTACGGAAAATAACTAATTTTTTTTACAGTATTTTTCTGTCATTTAAAATTATGTTTAAAACTATGTAAAATTACTAACAATATCTGTAAATTAACAACTTGACTGTTATTTTACGGATTATATTATTCATGACAAATTACAATAATTCTAATTTTTTAATACGGGAAAATTACCTTATTATTTATACAGTATTTTTCCTGTTTTCATAAATTACATACAAAGTCATGTAAAATTACGAACAATAGCTGTAAATTAAAAACTTGACCATTATTTTAAGGATTATATAATTAATGACAAATTACTGTATTTCTCATTTTTTAATACGGGAAAATTACCTTATTATTCATACAGTATTTTTTCTGTTTTCTTAAATTACATACAATATCTGTAAATTAACAACTTGACTGTTATTTTAAGTATTATTCCTTAAATGAAAAATTACAGTAATTCAGATTTTTTTATAGAAGCAATTACTGTATTATTTATACAGTATTTTTCTGTTTTCTTAAATTACATACAAATTCATGTGAAATTACAAACAATATCTGTAATTAAATAATGTAGCTCATTATATTAAAGGGGTCATATGATGTTGCTAAAAATAACATTATTTTGTGTATTTGGTGTAATGAAATGTGTTATGCGGTTTAAGGTTAAAAAAACACATTATTTTCCACATACTGTACATTATTGTTTCTCCTCTATGCCCTGCCTTTCTGAAACGCTTCGATTTTTACAAAGCACATCGGTCTGAAAAGCAAGGTGTGCTGTATTTTTACATTCAAACTCTGTAATTTTATATAGAATAGAAATATAATAAATATAGAATAGAAAATCAGCCTTAAAATCCACAAATCATGTAACCGTGCAATAAAAAATGTATTGCATTAAAAATGCTTTATTTTCATAAAGAAAAAATCAACCAATAAAGAGTGAGTGTATAAAGTATACAGTCAATAAGAGAAACGCAACAGACAGACGTGTGCAATCACAAGAATTTATTGCAGAAATGTCAAAAAGCAGTACCACAGTAGTCCAAATGACGACGCGTTGCAGTCGCAGTCCTCTCTGGCGGAATATAATAGTTTAGTGTGAGGAGCAGGACATAATTTAAGTTATTAAATGCTGTAAATACTATCCCGTAGTGATTCATTTTGAACGAATTTTTAATGTGACTCGGGAAGAACGAGTCCTCTCGGGGAGTGATTCGATCAGTCGTGCATGCGCAACATCCTATAGGTTCTGTATAGTTCACTGTATAGTATCTATAGTTCCCTTTCAGTCGGTCACTACGAGTCACGTCGTGACCGACAAATTGGGATATCGCTTCGATAGACCAATCTACTTCGAGTGTAAACTAAACGAGCCAATGCACATTGGCATGCAATTATTGCATCCAGCTGCCGCTGACGAACGACTCAAACCCGAAGACTTGTCAGATAAGAGGTGAGGTGAGCTAATCAAACAATGAATTAATCTTTTCTGTTTCTTATAGCATTATAGTTTTGTTTTGTTTGTAGTGTGATCAACGTTTGCGTAAGTAGTAGGTGTGTTAGGGAAGTAACACGTAACATTTTAATAATATTTTGCTAAAATGAACGAAATGACTCGCAAAAAGATTTGTTAATTTTGCTGAACGAGACTCAAAGGTCCGAGTCGGTAAAATTATCCGATATTCCCATCACTACTATCCCGATCCACTCCGTAAAGGCGTGCGTTTCTCATTCAAAACACGCATCACCGGAAACACGGCATGTCGCAATCTATGACGAAACCGGCAAGAGCCAATAAGCTTTTGATATCGCATAAAACTTGTTGTAAAACTTCTTAACGGCAAATTTTGAAATTGTTACTGTAACTACAGAAGAAGGAGATATATATCGCTTAATGGTTTGAATTTGGATCTGTTCCTCACACAAAGCATCACACCTATCTGAATAAAAATACAATGCTTTTATGATCATGTTATTTAATGCTTGTGCATGACAGCATATTAATAAATGTATGTGCGCCATGGTAAACCAAATAAATATTGCATGATAATGGTTAAATGATCTCTCTTTCTCGCTCTCTTTATGTAAGGATTCTAAGATTATTTGTTCTGAGAATAATAATATAAAATATAATAAAATTATAAGTAAGTGCAGTTTATTGCAGTTGACTGATTTACTGATTTGCTTAATTTTGAAATGATATGTTTCATTCTGTTCTGACTTGCCATTTCAAAGATTACATTTAAACAATACTACAATTCATTAAAATTTATGTGATCATTTAACCATTATCATGCAATATTTTATTTGTCTTGTTTATCGTGGGTCACATAGGCTAATATGCTGTCAGATCACAAGCCTGATTTGGGCCACACTCCTCCCACCAGCAATCGTCCCTCATGTTTGCCGTGATCCATGCTGTGCCATCATCGCCACACATGGCCCAGCTCTGGCTGAAAGGGTACCTGCCATTGCCGACAGAAGGCCAGCAGTTCCAGCTTGAGGCCACATTTGGGCCAAGATCGCTTGCTATGTGGGAAGGACAACAATGTTCATGATGGAACATTGCTCTTAGGGCCAACCTATACATTGTCTTTACTTTTGAATAACTAAAAAACAGACTTTCACTTTCTATGGTGAGAAGTTCAACATTTTCAGTTTACATTGTCTCATATCACAAATGCTATACAGTCCTACTGCAGTCAATAGCTTGCAATATCTATGCTATTAAATAAAAGTATGTAGTCAAATTTTGTAACTTGCATGCAATTATGTTGTGTTTCCATGTTTTATGGGGACATTCCATTGGCGTAATGGTTTTTATACTGTACAAACTGTATGTGCTATTGCCCTACACCAGCCCTACACCTAAACCTACCCCTCACAGGAAACTTTATGCATTTTTAGATCTTCAAAAAACTTAATTCTTTATGATTTATAAGCTTGTTTCCTCATGGGGACCTATCCTTGTGGGGACATTTGGTCCCCATCGTGTGATAAATACCAGGCACACACACACACACACACACACACACACACACGACTGCCATGATTTTGCCAAGTAAGACCTGTTCCTGAATAAGCAGTATATCTTATTGATCCTGTCTGAAAACATAGTCCCTCTGGCCCTAAACCTAATTTTACCCTAAAATCAGATGGAAATGACGGGTGGTAAACAGTGAATAGCACAGATGCACCTAACCCTAGCATAATGTGAAATCACCATTTGAACAATTAATTAAATGTAACAGCCTACAAATAAAAATAAATAGACACATTTGTAATCTTTCACTTAAAACAAGTTATTATTTATTTGTTTCATAGTTGCAACGCTATTTGCTGTCTTGCAGTGTTGCTTTGAGCGTGATTGGTTAATCTGACCATCACTCAGGAATCTGGCCAATGACTAGTGAGCGCGCCGTTCGTCTTCTGCTTCGGTCGGTTCACTAGTAATGGCTTTTACATGGATTATTTTACGTCTTGACTGTTTAATGTTTAATTGAGTTTGGGTTGTGGGATGAAGATTGAGAAAAAATAAACGCGAATATGGACACAGACTTCTTCCAGCAGCTAACAGACATGCAAACTGCAAAAGGTAAGTAACGTTAAATACCTTATATAATGTTTTATAGTTACATCAAGCAAGATACAGTGAATTGAAGTGAGATGCTAATCGCGATTATACATCACAATGTCCTACCAGTGTGTGTTACTGTGTTTTGTTAGTATGAGCTAATACTGTTAGCTGCGGCTGGGCGATATATGACCATGTCGTGGCGATGATATGAAGCGCAATATATAAACTCATAGCACAGTACTACTTAAAGTTGATAAAGAAATGTGCATGAATGAGGAATAAATAGCAGGAAACGCATGGTGATGAAATGAGTGAAGAACAATAGACACAAAGCCGCGCCTCACTTGAATGGTCAAATACAGACAGTCATCTCAAAATTCACTTGACTTAAACACAGTCGCTAATGTTTGGAGTCGAGATTAACATTTAGGTGGAAACCAAGCGGCAACCAGCTAGTTTTAAGATCAAACTCAAAAAGTGAAGCATGATCCTTGGATTCCTTGGAGAAGAATACTGTATGTAAACCAGGAATTTGGATCAACTGTGAAGATTTTGTATGGAGTTGGTGAGAAC